CTGTGGTAAGCGAATGAGTCAACTAGTTCTTGGTGAGGGAGTCGGTTCTGAATCTGATCATGGCATATTTGTAAGACAGTGCAGCAGTATCTTCCTTTGTGTGTGTGTGTGTGTCCTTGCCACAGCCACAAGAGTTGACACGGTTCCAGCACAGCAGTCCTTCAAAAAGGCAGCAGAAATCTCCTTGATGGTTTTATACCTCTTAATCTCTGTTTCACTTTCTCTATGCTGCATTAGGAGGATGAAGGGGCAAGAGAGTAAAGGTGAAGGGTAACGAACAGCAGAATACATCATAACCTTATTCAGCTGCAACAGAAAAAAAGCAGCTGGAGCTGCGACTCTTCTATCAACCTTTTCTCCCTGTCTGCACTGCAGTACTTAGCCTATCACTTCATAATTTTCACTCTGGTAAAAACCTTCCATTTCTGTCTACATAATGAGGCAGTTCCTACTTTGTGCTTATCTGAGAGATGGGGAAATGGGAGTGAGTAATAAGAAGAAGGGAGAGCATGTATCTTCTCTTCCCAAAGCCATCTTGAGACGTGGACAAAGTCAAGGCCACAGCAACCTGCAGGTTATTACAGATTGCATACACAGAGTTGCAAGACCTTAAATTAAGGTACTGTATAAATAACTTACTGACTGAAAACTGTAACATTCACAGAATTCTAAAAAAAGCTCATCTCTTGTATGACAATTTCCATGAAGGAGAGTGAATGACTGAATACAGCAGTGTACAAAAGTCATTTTCCACCGTATGAACTTCTTGGGACATTAGCTGTATTTGCTTCTCACTCTCTCAACCTCTCTCTTTACTCATTACACAACTATTTCTGTCACTTTTCATGAGAATGACTGAGTACAACACTGTGCATGCCTTCCAGAAGGCCCGTTCTGCCCATATTTAAACAGTGCTGCATCACTCTTGTGTGGCTGTTCGGAACAACAGTATAAACATATTTGATTTCTGACATGGTTGGACAGCACATCTTGCAAACTTCTCTGGATTGATCTTAAAACAACCATTAGCTCCTGGAACCGTTTCAATCAAAACAGCCACAAGCTACCTAGAAGGCAGATTCTTAGACCGCCCTGCACGTATGAGCCATGGCTTGCCCGACTAGTGTTTCAACCTTAGCTGCCACAACATCCTGACCGTGTGCACCACTTTAATGTGTATTTTTGGTGTGAATTATTCCGTTTCTTTACAAGCTTATCAACTGTGGATGAAAGGCTCAGATAGGCTTTCAACCACTCATAAGCTCATCCTTTATACCTCAGTAGATGCCTCTCGTTTTACTCTGTGAGGTAAATCAGCCTAGGTCTTGGTCAAATCATGACATTACATAAACAACTTGCAAGCTTGGAATGAAAGTGACATTAAACAAGCCTACTGTATTTTTACACCACTCTTTTCAGCTAATAAAGCCATCCTTATAACTAAGTCGAAACATTGCTCTTGAATGTTAATCTATCACTGATGTGGCTGTCTGCTTATTTACCCAGCATATACTCTCCTGCAGATTAAATCTCCGTGTTTCTGTTGCCACGCACAGCAAAATCCCACCATCATAATGCTGCCACTAAGTCTAGCAGCTGTAAAATATTTTGCTTTATAATGAAGACATGGTACAAATGCGGTGGCTTCATGACTGCAAAATAAAATAATGCAAGCCAGGTACACAAAAATGTGCCACCAAGCAACTTGTGTCATGGGAAAGAAATGAGGAAGTGATGTGGAATTTGTGCCTGCCAACATTTAAAATCCAAAATCATGCAGAAACCAGACTGATGCTAACACGTTGTGCTTCCCTGTGGTTTGTTTTCTTTATGTTGCCAGGACAGCTTACTGAAGATAATTTATCATGACAGAAAGAAATATGTGCTAATAAATTAGCAGATGATTTAAATCCTAATATGGCATTAATACGGGTCTGCAGAACAAAACTAGTTTTAAGCAGAGATAACACTAAATCCAGGGTAAAGTAGTTATGCCATGCTAGTTGGCTTCCCTTATCGGGATGCTGCCACAACACAGGCACACACATACACTATGTCCTATGTTAGAGTCCCTCAGCTCTTTGTTCAGGAAACAGTGCACCCTTATTTACCATCCCAGCCAGTAACTATGACACTGCATTCTCCCTACCCCCGAGCCCCTGGCCTGTACAAGCAGGGTCATGAGCTATGGGTGTAATTTCTAAGACAATAGCTCACATTAGACATGGCAACACATGGGCTATTTTCTGTTTATCAGACAAAGACCAGAAGCTATATTTTATCCAAATACACACACAGAATTATTCTTGTGGGAGTGAAATGGGGTAATGGGGGGTGATTACCAAGGTCTCCTGTGGCCTATAAAGAAACAGATCTTGCATGAAAACATGTCAAGATGATAATTTTTATTAGTGTCCATGAGAACTGAGCTCAGCGATAGTAAATGACTGTGCCTGTAGCAGGCTGAGATCATGCAGGAACTGTCCAAATACATCTCAGTGTTCACTGTTAAGACTATTAATTCACTGACCAAGGCCTGGAAGCACAGTTCTGAGTAGAGAACAACAACATTAGTAGAATCTGAGGGCAGCTACACACACAATTATGCTGAATTTTTCTGCCATTGTTAACACTGATGTAAAGAAAAATGTAACATGTCTGTTCGCTTAAGACACAAACGTCTAGAGAGGCTGAGGCAAAATACTACAGTATTACAAGTACCAATACTGACTGTCCTTCCTTCAGAAAATTAAACATCCTGGCAACAAATGCTGAAATGACACCAGTTTTGAAATTATTCATTAATTAAGCAATTAGCTAATAATTTTCTGCTGATTGGCTAACTACTTTGTGAAAACTGATTGATCAGTTAAGTTAGTTACCAAGCCAAAACACCAACCATTCTCTGGTTTCAGCTTCTGAAATGTGGGGATTTGTTGCATATCATCGTAAGGCAAATATTTCTATCTTAGTCCAACAAAACCAGCAATATAAATGGGTCACAGTGGGCTCTGGGGAACAGAAACTGACAGTTTTCACTACTTTATGAGATTTTAAAGAATTAACAATTCATCAAAAATAATCACCACATTAAGCACATAAACATTTGCTTCCCTATCTGTAATGACATTCTCAGCTAAATAAATTCTACTCAATTAATTCTAGACAATCCCGCCATTGCATTTTTTTTAACCTGCAACAATTGTGCGATCAACAAAGTCCTACCTACCAACAAGAAGGCAAAGTCACAACAGAGAAGTAAAACTGCATTATATTATATAAAGAAAAAAAAAAGACATTATATTTGTTGGGGATGTTATTTCTCTGCATACCCAGAGAAATGCTGAAAGATTAGAGGGTTTGCACTGCAGCAAAAGCAATGGACCGCTTGGTGCTGGCCAGACGTACCAGGTGGTTTCTGCTTGTATACGTGTACAGATTTATGTCTATATTAACAAAGCCAAAAACTAGAGTAGAATGAAGAAATACATGCATCTACACTTAAGAATACTGTCCCATAAATGGATGTTTAGTATAACAAGACATTCTGGTGCAAGAGACTGACTGATTCACGTGTAGGAAAAACATTGTGTGATGTTATACGTCAAAAAAAAAACAAATAAAACGTGTAATTGGCAGTATAATCACATGCTCCGATCAAACAAACAAAGCTACACAATGCACCCTGCGCTGCCATGGTACTGGCACAAAGTAGCAACTGCACCAACTTGCCACGTCCATTTAAATGGCCAGGTAATTCAGTTTCCCAGTGGAAACACAGCGATAATAACATGATATATTGTCGAACACATAAATATGAAGCCATATGACATCAGTGGAACATGCAGCAAAGTATATAGAACATAAACTCACCGGCATCATTTTAGCTTCGTACCGCATTTAGCTACAACACAGAAACACTCCCCACTGGCAGGTTTCGACGAGAGCGGCGGGACTGGCTCACTTTAACACCAGAGCCTGAACCCGGGAAAAGCGAGGCTACTTTGTCCTGCTTCGAGGTCCCGTCCTGCAGTAAGAACACAGCACATCTCTATCTCATAAATTCAACCTAAGAATTTCAAGGAAACTACATATGCAAGCGTTAATGTATCCCGTGTCGTGAACCTGTTGCAACAAATAACAAGGCCTTCACGACAAAAGTTTCCGTTGTAGTTGTGTGTGCATCGCCTATAACTTTGTAACGGCTCGTTGAGAACAGGAGGCACTACTGAAAACATTCACGCCTTGTGATAAAACTACAGATTAAAAATGTATACATATATGTTCATTTGTTGGAATTTTCTTGATTTTACTTACCAACGGATGCGTTCAGCTCGAAACAGTGCTGACAGACAGCGACGGTAGAAGGAGCACAGCCTATCCCAGAGTGACGTATCGGGAGGAATCTCATTCCGCTTTGGAATTCAAGCTCCGCCCCCACCGGTCGGACGTGTCCGGTGAAAATATCACATGTAGGTCATTAAAGCTTATCTCTACTAAGTTTACTTAAGATCCGCATTATGTATCTAGACAACAAGACCCTGAGCAACAAATGGCACATACATTAAAGGCAATAGGATTTAACCTGATTTCAATCGGAATAAGTATTTGATTAGTTGAAAGTTGAACTGGGTGGAGTTGTGGCGAGCAGCTCTCTGATGAAAGTAACTAAGTACTCAGGTACTGAACTTAAAGTTTCTTTTCTGTTTTAAACTCAGGAGTCATTTTTCTGTCAGCACATACAGGAGCTTTAAAAAAAATTATGTTACTACAAGTCCCAGAATTCTCATTCGACGGCGAGCGAAAGGTTCAAACAACCAGGCAGCACATTTTGTGCACGTTTGTACCTCCCTTAGCGGACGCAGCTCATTTTTGTGCAGGTGTTTTGCATAAGGGAGCCCCTAGTTTTCGTCTCAACGGTGCAGCAGACGCTACCTGAAGTCATGGCTGATCAGGTGGCTGCCATGTGCGATCAGCTTATTAAAGCTGTGAATGTGATAATGGATGCAGAAACAAGCCAAATTCTCCGACTGGAGGCCCTAAAGGTAGCATCATTATGTGTTGCTAGCTAGCGATTAGCTAGCTAAGGATGTCATTTATTGGAGTTGTTATAAAACTATAACCAAATACCTGTCTCGCCGAAAAAGTCAGTTTTATCTGTAGATAAGAGTAACAACATCACGGATACAGTCAGTTTACGTTCATTAACGTTAGCTGCTTTTGTAGTGATGATAGCCGAATGCTTTGCGAGCTAGCCGGGGTCAACACCGATAATCCTGGATTATCACATCACCATCACGTCCACTGTCGACTCATGCTCCTTCATTCATACAAATGGTAACATCCGATTTAATACAGATAGTCCAGCGGAGGTTTATTAAGCACAGCCCGATTAAACAGTGGTATGTTGCTAAAGTCTGCGTCGCGCCTAGCTTGAGCGGCTAGCCTTATGCTATTTTATTAACGTTGTTTAATATAATGTTGATGTTGCTTCTTGATACACATTGCATTTATAAGACTATTAGAAGCTTTTAAGTATTTTAAAACATTATACAATCTGGTTTATATGGTTGTTTGCAATATAACAAGCTTTATTTTTCACTACAGTTTTGTGAAGAGTTTAAAGAGACAAACTCCTTCTGCGTCCCATGTGGCGTACAATTAGCCGACAAAGCCCAACCTGCTATAGTGAGACACTTTGGTTTGCAAATTCTGGAGCACGTCATCAAGTAAGTGTAACAACACAGCCTGTCTATAATGTATAGTGTGTATGCAGTCTGTGGTGCAGTATAACTAAAGTGCATCAACTCAATAAATGCTAAAAGCTGTGCATTTGAAAGAAAGTCTGCTTTTCTTGCAGGTTCCGATGGAACAACATGCAGCCGCAAGAGAAAATACATTTGAAAGAGTGGGCCATGCAGCTGTTATCAAATGTAAGTATGATAGTAAAAGGATGTTAATGACAAGCAGTTTGTCTAATAGTTCAGATTAGGCTTAAAGTCTGTCTTTCTGTCCCAGTAAGAAAACTTATTTGATATTTGTCCTGGGTTTTATCAGGGAACTCATTCTGTCTTGGAAGAGGAGAGCCACATCAAAGATGCCCTGTCACGAATCATTGTGGAGATGATAAAGAGAGAATGGCCTCAACATTGGCCAGATATGCTGAAAGAGATGGAGGCTCTCACTAGCCAAGGGGTAAGTACTTTTGTTAGAGTGCAGCTTGCTTACAATTTAAATGCAATTGTGTAAAAACTCATGCAAGACTTGTGCCTTTCATAGGGGGCACAGACAGAGCTGGTGATGCTGATCCTATTGAGGCTGGCAGAGGATGTGATCACCTTCCACACGTTGCCCATCCAGCGACGCAGAGACATCCAGCTGACACTCACCCAAAACATGGAAAACATCTTCACTTTCCTGATGGCCATTTTGCACCTTAATGTCGAGGACTACCGCAAGCTAGTCAGTGGGACCTTAAATAACTAATAATTAAGCTTCATGTGTCAGTATTTTGCTAATAGTAAAAATGTAATGGTAAATTTACAATGTTTGGCTCATCTTCCCCCCCAGAAAGGGTCGCCTGGACTTGAACTGCAGGTAAGAATGCATCAATGTCTTTTCTCTAAAATTATCTTCTTATGAAGTTCAGATTTCACTATTTTCTTTTCCCTCCCTTTTCCCCCTTTTGCTTGCACAGGCCAGAGCTCACTGTCGAGTCGCTGTGACTACGCTGAATACGCTTTCAGGCTATGTAGACTGGGTGTCTTTGGCATTCGTTACTGCTGGAAACTGCCATCTACTGGAGATGCTGTGTCTGCTGCTTAGTGAACCAGAGCTGCAGCTGGAGGCAGCAGAATGTCTGCTCATCGCTATCAGGCGGAAGGTGACTTACAGAGAAAATGTGTTGAAAGGCCATGGTTAAGCCACAACGCTCACCCGATAGCTATAAAACTGATCACTTTTTAAGTCCCTCATTTATATGTCTTATGCTATCTTAAAATACTTACCAAATTTGTATGTACAGTAATTGGTTGTAAAGCTGACCAGTGGGTCAATGAAGAAGCGGTGCAGATACAGAACAACAGTGCTGTCATCTGTTGATTTAAAACGCATTTACTTTAAGCTTGTAGATCCTGTACTGAGCGGCATTGACATTTTTTTTTACATTTTTATTTTCTTTCTTTCTAGACAAACTTACCAGTTTTTCTTTTCACAGTGACACCAGGTCATCAACAAAATTGTTTATAAGCCCCACAAAGCTCTTCATTTTTGTGTTTTTGGACATTCTTGTAGCCATGGCTTATTTGCTATAAATTTCCATCACCTTTGAATGTGTTGTACGGTTAGATGGCATGTAGACATATTAACTATTGCAAGTTAAAATTCCTAACCATTATCAGCCATTCAGGAGAACTATCTATCACTGTGTATTTGATGCAGATTGTAGATATTAAAATCACTAATTTAGAGGATTGTGCTTGGAATGTGAAACTGCCTAATCATTATCTGTGCAGATTCTCAGTCATCCAGGTCATAGTAAACCGCAACCGAAATAACCTTGGAAATCAACTGGACTTGGATTTCTAGATCGAAGACGTTTCACCTCTCATCCAAGAGACTGTCCATTAATGGACAGTGTTGGCCTTCTAAGGACTGAAACCACACCGAGGGGGATAAATATCTCCGATTCAACACCAGTCAGTCAGAACTGATGAAGCCTCTTGGATGAGAGGTGAAACGTCTTCGATCTAGAAATCCAAGTCCAGTTGATTTCCAAGGTTATTTCGGTTGCGGTTTGCCTAATCATTAATTGTAGAAATGTAAATCGGATGAGACATGACACAGTATCCTCACTTACAACCTAAAATGCTTTTTTTTTTTTTTTTTTTTTTTTTTTTTTTTAAAGTGTGTATTTATATATAAAATGAATTGTGCCTTTCTGCCACAGGGTAAGCTAGAGGATAGGAAGCCGTTCATGCTGCTGTTTAATGATGTGGCCATCCACTATATCCTTTCTGCAGCCCAGTGAGTACAGCCTCTTATCTCCATCATCCCTCTTTAATCTACCATTTTCAGTGTCACTGACTGGTTTGAATCTCTGTTTGCAGGTCAGCAGATGAACTGGCCATTTGTAAGAAAACCTCAGAGTCACAGTAAGTAACCGTGGAGCATGATGGCAGATGTAAAGCAGTCATAAAAACATAGAATTAAGTACATTCAGTGTCTGACTTCTAGTCCTCTACTTTGTAGAGCGGTGGTGGTGGAGCAGCGTTACATCTTCCTGAAGAGGCTGTGTCAGGTCCTATGTGCACTGGGAAGTCAGCTCTGTTCGTTAGTGGTGAGTTTATCCTAACGTGACTGCACTTTGGTTCTTGTGCTCACATGATAGTTTATCTGTGTTTGGTCCACACACACACTGTTACTTTGAGGCTTTCTGTTAATGATGTTCTCTCCACAGGGTTCAGATGTAGGGGTTAATGTACCTGCAAATCTCAACAAGTACATGGAAGCCCTTTTAGCCTTCACTACACATTCCAGTCAGGTGAGATTATGACAATTTTGCAGTGAACCTTCACCTGTAAATCCCTTTGTTAAAGACTGCATTTGAGTGACTAAAATATGAATCTTGTGATTTTTGTTTTCCTCTCTCTTCTGCAGTTTTTGAAGTCATCTACTCTCCCTACATGGGTGGCTTTGTTCAAACATGAGATTCTCTCGAAGGAAGCAGTTGTTGTGCAAATGGTCATCAAATACCTCAGAGCATCTATGACCAACCTAGTCAAGGTGAGACTGTGATGGCGGTGCCAGCCTTCCTAGTTGCCACAGAAGCCAAGCAGGGTGTTACTAAAGACGTGGCCTTTCTTCTGTCTCTCTCTCTCTCTCTCCAGACCGGGTTTCCATCTAAAGATGACAACCCAAGCTGTGAGTACTCCCGTGTCGACTTTGACAGTGACGAGGACTTCACCTCATTCTTTCATTGTGAGTAGTATGAATTTCTTCTGAGCAGTGCTTTTATTTTCTTCCTTGATGTTTTTCATGGAGTGTTTTTCATGGTTCACAGCTTTTCGAGCGCAGCAAGGAGAGCTGGTAAGGAGTGCATGTCGCATTGTTCCTCTGGAGGCCTTTCAGATAGCAGCAGAATGGTTACAGTATCAGATTGCCAGCCCTACTGACGTCGGGGACACCAGGTGTGAGTGTTTGCCCTCACTCTTGTTACTGTATTGCATCAGAGAAGGGGGTTCTTGGTTCTCTGCTGGTGGGGATGGTTTTTATTTATTTTTTTAAAACAGCAAATGAACTTCTTCTCTCTCTGCACCTCACTAGCTAAGACTGCAGAGGACCTGTGCTCCTTCATGTCTCCATCAGTGATCCAGTGGGAGGCCATGACTGTCTTCATGGAATGCGTTGTCACACAGATCTTGAAAATTCTGGAAGAAAAGGTAACCATAGCAATTTTAAGCAATAGAGCAAAACTGTGTAATAAAATAAAGCTGCTGATACTGATGTGAAAGGTTGCCCCCCCTCCCCTGACCTGCTCCTATGTAGAACATGCCCACAGATCAGAGCATGGAGCTGCTGCAGGCTGTGCTGAACTACGACACCAAAGATCCACTCATCTTGTCCTGTGTGCTCACCAACATCTCTACCCTCTTCCCATTTGTTATGTACAGACCACACTTCTTGCCACAGGTCCTCTATAAGGTCAGCCATGTTGTCATTGGTGACTACATATTATTTATGAGTGTCTACCATGTAATAATATTGTAAATGGAAATGCATGATATGAATTTTAGCTTCATGATGGTTAGATGTGGTATTTGGGTGGCAGGTTTGACATAGTCTGATCATCAAGGCAACGGTTGAAAAGTTTCTGTTGATAGCTAATGTGTGTTTATTATCTGCAGCTGTTTAAAGCCATCACATTTGAGGTTGGGCAGGATAGTAAGGTGAGTTGCCTTCACAGAACCAAATATCAGCACTTTACCTCATCCTTCACATCCACAACCTAAGAATATATTCTCCAACTCACTTATTCAGGTACCTCGGACAAAATCTGTAAAGAACGTGAGGAGGCATGCTTGTTCTTCAGTCATCAGAATATGTCGGGATTACCCAGAGATCATCTTGGTAAATGTCCTTGTATTGCAGTTAAAGTAAAATAGCATGATATAGATTTTGTGTAACTGAAGTATGACCTGCTGACCAATAGGCATCAGTAAATATCTGACTGTTGTTCAATTTATTTTTTTCCTGTCCAGCCATGTTTTGACATGTTTTACAATCACATAAAGAAGCTGTTTTCAAGTGTCGCCACACTGACTCACACAGAGAAGTGTTCACTGATGGAAGCTCTGGTGCTCATCAGTAACAAGTTCAATGACTTTGTGAAGCAGAAGGCTTTTTTAGATGAACTAATGGCCTCGGTTGTTGCAGAGTGGACCTCGGATGAGATGAGACGGTGCATTTCAGTTTTTTCTATTTCCCTCAAATTGAACACTTATTTTAATGGCATGACAGAGATGGACTATTATCACTTCTTTGTGTTTCAGTGTGTTGTGGGACCCTGCCATGTTCCTGTCTTTTATTGGAGCTGATCAGGTGGTCACTAAGCAAAGTACAGATATTGGCACAACAGGCCTTAATAGGGGGCGGGTAAGGACTTGAGTATTGAGTCTGATTGAGGATTATGTAGTAGTCTTGCTTACTTTCCTTACTCTGGTTTTAGTTTTGCTCTGAATGGCAAAGGGTTGCAAGTATGGCTGCAGAAATAGAGAAAATTCACATAAAATCCTGTGCTCTGACTTGTTGGCCTGTCTTTTCTGACCTTCCTCTAGGTGAGTTTCTGTTTGTGTGCCATATTGGCAGTGGTGAAGCGGGTACGTTGTCCTGCAGACTTGGAGGAAGCCAAGGCTGGTGGCTTTGTGGTGGGCTACACTGCTGCAGGAGCGCCCATCTACAGAAACCCCTTCACTGCCCAATTTCTGGTCATACTGCCCAACCTGCTGGCTTTTATCAGGTATGCCTGTGGGTTGATACTGTAACTTGCGTTGTCTTTGGCATAACAATATCTGAGCAGGAATTATTGCTATTATACTGGTCTGTTATCACCTCACTGCAGGACTCAGAACAGTCTGTTCCTGCCAGAGAACATGGCTCGGTTGAGTGAGACCTTCTCCAAGGCTCATGAAGTGATGGATGCAGAGAAAAATATGGTTCTCGGTAAGAGGACCTTTTGTGCGCAGTTTTACCCACAGTGAGCCATCATCGCAAATGATTTTGGTTAAACTTATCAATGTTTGCTCTCTCCAGGTCTCTCTCAGCATCTTCTAGATAGTTATGACTCCCCTGTGTATAAAACCGACCTTGAGCACATGCAGGGATTTTTTCTCTCATCGTATGACAACTGGTGAGAATTGTGGTGTTGCAGTTTTTCCCTAAATGACTTAATTTTACATCTCACATGCTGTTGCAGATTAAGTTATATGTCCTC